CAGTTTGTTTATAAACATGTTTTTTATCAGTGAGTATTATAGATTAGAGAAAAGCAAATTATGATGATAGCAAGCAAATTATTTTTTTGTTCGTTAACATATAAACAACGAGAACGAGAAAGAACAAGAACAAACGGTAAAGAGTACTTATATACTACCTACCTACACACAGCTACATACATTAGTTTAACAATACATTTGTGTGTATTACTTTCTTTGTCTCTATGTCTCTTTTCAGATACCTGTTTACTGTGCGTAATTGCGCACGTGCGCGAATTCCGGTGGCTCTTTGTTAAAGACAGGTTAAAATGGAGTTTGAATAAATGCAATTTAAAGACCCTGTAAGAGCTTTGAATTATCGTCAAATACTTATATTTTAGAGTAATCCTGTTTACAAAGAAGAAATTTTAAAGAAATAATAAAAAAAATGATGGTTATTCTAATATTAATTTATCATTTTGGAGAAGAGAAAATATCCAAAAAAGCAATAAAAAAGGCTTACCTGTATGAGTACAACAAAAAGAGAAAGAGAGCGATCGCGACAGTAGACGATCAATGGCTCTTTCTATCTAACTTACTTCTACAGATACAGTCAAAATGACTTTTTCACTTTTTTTTAAATATTTTGCGCCAGTCGAATAAAAATAAAGAGTGCTTATTGACAGAAAACTCTTCGCCCTATACGCTGGTATTTTTATTTTTTCTGTAAATGAAACCGTTAAAAGATATAAGCAAAACGAATCTTAAAACACAATTTTACATAATTTGAACATTATTAGACTACTCAAAAACAATCGTAACTATTTCTTTTGAAATCGGTGCGCTCAATTATATAATACATAAAAGATGCCCAATTATCAATTAATTTTCCAATTCAGAAGTTTCTCGGTTGGTATTCATAAATAATAAGAACAAAGGTTGAATTGACATGCTGCGTGCCTGCGTAGCAGAATTGATAAAGTCCCCGACTACCAATCCAATGGCTCAATTCTCGGAAGAAAATTCTCGTTAAGATTGTGGAAGGGCAGAGCTTTACCAAGATTTAAAAAAAAAAAGACGAGATCATGGTAAAGGGAAGCACTACGACTCAAAAGGAAGATCTTCTATATAAAGTTGAAGGAGTAAAGGACCAAGATACTCTTTCTTACAGTACATCTAATCAAAGGGCTAGAATATAATAGAAGTGAATAGGCTATTAATAGGCATTAGAAGCTGCCAGCTAAGGAGACGGGTTGAAGTGCTCAGATACTACCAGTGTCTGGAGTATGGAGGAAATTGCCTGGAACTGCAACAAGGAGAGCCGGTCAAAGCTAAGCTTTTGATGTGGCAGCTGCAATTACCGTAGAAAAGATTGCAAGGACAAAGCCCAATGTTTCACTTGGGGAACAGAAAGTGCCAAACATAACTAGAAAAAATCAAAAGTAAGGTGCCTACTAGACGCAAATAGAGTTCAAAAGAATGAAAGCTACATGACCATTGCAGACACAAGCTGCGCTGACTTACCCTAGCCATCAGTCAAGGGAAGCAAGAAAAATCGATATTTCAGCAAAACAGCAGAAAACCAGACGGGATAAAGAGAAGGCAACATCATGATGGTAACAACACTCTGATGGAAGGCCACGTTAATGGTTAACACTCTGTACTCTCTTCTATCGTGCATTAAGCATACTGGACGACCTCGAATAAGGAAAAAAAAAAATTATAATAAAATAGTTATAATACATTTAGTAGTCTTATTTTTCTTATCATCAAATGTATTCGCTATTACGTGATTTATTAATCTAATTACAAATTTAAACGCTTTTTTTTAAAATTAGCTTATTGTTTTTAGAAAATTATTTTATAAAAGGCAGCAAACTTTCAATAAGTCTTACATCCACAATCTCATCAGAAAAATCTTCCGTATCTTGACTTATATTTCTTTGTTTTTTATTACTTGCTGCATTAAACTAGATTTTTTTTTTTTAAAAGAACATCTTGTTTTTTACAGATGCTTTTTTCTGTTGGTTCTCATTCTGACATATTATTTTGGTTCTGTTTGGTATTGACTGTACTGACTGTATTGTGGAAGTGACATGGTTGATCTTTGATAGCTTAGTTACAGCCTGTAAATAGTGGCTCCTTGTGCACCTAAGAGTACAGAAAGTAGCAGCAACAACGGACCCGAATATAAATTAAAATGAGAAAGTAATAAGCTATTTACATACAGACTATTTAAGAGATGTTGAAGTGTGGCTGTATGCGAGAGGCATTGAGTGTTATTTCTCTTTACATGTTACGGCAAATATGTACAATAAATAGCTTTTGCTCTAAGCACTGCAGACAGACTCATATAAAAAAATGTCGGGAACCAGAGGTACAACTAGAAGTATGTACATGTTTTAAAAAATAAACGTACATATTTTTAAAGTTAATTTTAAAGTTAAGAGAGAGTAATATGAAAAATAACAAAAGAACTTAAGAAAAGATAAACATTGCGTTTTACTTTGGGGAAAGTTTCCAAAGAGTTGCTTAGTAATGTTCACAGAATATGTAACTGAAATCAAGACCCAATTCTGAGACTGTAATAGTTAGTAATGAGAATTCAAAAGTGTATAGCTTAATATATAAATGCAACTAAAATTGACTTAAATTCAAAACAGGTAGGCTTTTTTTGACTTTGGGCCCATCATCGTCCTATAAATAATTAAGAGCATTATAATAATTAGTTTGAAATCCAATGTGAAACAAATTGCCAGATGAATTTTTTGGTGTACAACTGAGAAATCTCATAGAATTATAAGATAAATAATGAATTATTTACTGCTACAGCTTTTGAAGTACACACAAATAAATTTGTAATAGTATACATGTGATTCTTCAACGTATACAGTACATATAATTCATTTAGTTATGTGCCCTAAAAGTATTGTAATCTCATTCTAAACGGCACCAAAAACATAGCGATTACGATGTTAACTCAGTTTTTTTCGACAAATAACAGATCTTTGTTTCTCTAATGAAATAAAAGTTTCTTTAGCTTCCCCATGCATACTTCTCATTAAACAGTTTAAAAAGAGCTATGATATCAAGGCTAGTCAACTTTTTTTATAATAAATGTGGCCATTTACAAAACTGTAAGCATGTAACAACAGCAATATATCTATAGAACAATCAAAATAAGAAAGTACGTAAGTGCTGCAGTTCAAACGATTCCACTTGACTGTTAGACTGTGTATGTAGTGTAACAATATTTAAAAAAATCTGTCACGATTGGTGGGCTGTTTAGCAGAGAATGGGGATGACTCTGGGGTTGCCAAAGTAAGCCAATGTAAATACGCAACTATTAATTTTTTGCGTATAGTACACCAAAAATATTAGCACTACCTAATATTGGCGGGACGTAGTAGGGAAAACCAAGGTAGAACAAGGTCTTGTGGTATACATCAGAAGGTATCCTACTGTACCTTGGGTACCTTAGTGCTCTCATGCTGTTTGGGTAAGCCTGACTAAGTGAAGAGAATAAAAAGTTTGCCCCAGGAACTTTATTAAATATTGGGGGCTCTAGATGCATACGGTTTTTATTTAGTCAACACTACTACTATGAATACAGCCAATGCTGGAGACAAATAATAAGAAGCTTATGGACCATCTACTGTCAGAGTAAATAAATAATAAACTACTATTCTTACACTCCCATCCCCATCATGAGACACATTACACAGTGAAAGAGAACGTTGAAAAGTTCATAGAGTTACTTGCTTATAAATATCATGTTGACCAAGAATAGACCTAAGGAAAAATAATTATTCATAAGTAAAAAAATAACATGAAAAAAATACTACAAAAAATAATAAAGAAGTTGTAAATGAACAAAAAATGTAGGCTTACCTTAGTAAAAAAAATCTTACATAGTTAAAAGAACGTGGCATGAAATATGAAGGGCCAGATCAAAGAACGGATCAAGTGCTTGGCCACTATTTGCATAAATATGTTCTGTCTCGCTTTCCTACTGCTAAAGTGAGTTCATCTTCACAATTGAGGAAATAATTTTTTGATACTTTTAAGACAACTTAGAGCTTAAACAGAGGGTGGATAGGTTTTAATAAGGTCTTTAATAAGTTGCAGATCATAAGATTTAGTTTATTGTTTTACAGTAAGTGATATGTAAAAGTGAACACTGCATGGTGGATACCAGTCTAGCGTAGTAAATGCAAAACAATCAGTGGCTTCATTTTTGTTTGTTTGAATACTGACCCCTAGTAAATCACGTAATCTTAGATAGTTATTCATATGAAAGAAGCATCATGTACGGCCTACCCTGTCCAAAACATTAAAATAAAATAAATTAAAAAGTTATAGATATCTAACCGAGAGACTTTTAAAGTTTCGTAGGTCTAAATCATACATCTCATTTAGTTTTAACGGTCATTAATGTTAAATTTACTCAGGACCATAACTTTTTGGCTTATTACTTTAAATTTCACTTATCTTATACGTCTATGGTTGAAGACTTTAGCGTCAAATATCCAAATTGTGAAGCATACACTTCACCATATTCTACAAGTATCAATGATTTACTGTCAACATTTAAACAAACGCTGTATTATAAAATATTTTTCTAAAATAAACAAAAAGTATAACAGTCTCATTCTTAAAAATTCATCGATAGCACTTAATTTTTTAATTGAGAAGATGTATTTTTAATCGTAGCTCGAAAAAACTCTTGTCCTAAAATTCTACATCTGGACATGTGAACATTGGCAAATTCTGTATTGCAATTTTAAGTTTACAAGATCCAGCAAGTATAAATAAGACTCAAGTTTCTGTAAAAATGATTATTTTAAGTCCTACCTTATAAGTATTATGTGATAAAGTTTTTCATGATGTTTAAGCAATTAAAGTCTATTCTAACTTAATCACCAAAAAATAACCATAGCCCTATTTTTGTACTTACTTACTAAACTTCAAAAACAATTTATTTTCCTAATAAAAGTAGTAAATTTCATTTTAAGCTTAAAATGTCACAGATTGAGGACACTAAAAATTTACCAAAGAAAAATTGGAGTAATGGTTTTGTAAGTTACAAAAAAAATTCGTGATGTAAATTAATGAAAAGGACATGTTTAGAAAATCGAAAAAAAAATAAGAATATAAACACTTGTAATTTTATTATAACACTAGCTTTTCTAAGGCTTCCCATATTATGTCCTAAAAAAATATCTTAAATTAGAAAATTGATTAATCTAAGAGTATACATAAATAATGAGACTGTATTATAAATTTCAGCTTATACGGGAGCCATACGAAAATATTCAAAATGGCTTGACTATTTTCAATCCACTTATTTATGGCTTAGTATCTTATAAATTTGTTCCATTAACCTATGGAGAGCTTGATAGTTTTAGTTTCATTATGACAATACTCGGAGTTTTCTTTATGTAAGTATAATACTAAATTTTTCGACTTCTACATTTCCGGATTTAATATATTACTAAAATTACCTATAAGTAAACATAATAGGCTATATAATAAGTATAACAAAAGTATTTTTTTATGATTATACGAAACAAATTGGAAGGTGACGCAATTTAATGGACGTGATAATTTTTGAAATTTTCCTTGATGATAACCATTAATTTAAAAATGACAACGGTTTCAGCATAATGGTAATATTAAAAATAATAACAACAGTTACTATGACCGTAGAAATAATAATAATTATTATTATTGTTATAATTATTATTTTTGTT